AAATTTTTGGAGGGTTAAACTTGATTTTGAAATAAATTTGAATTAAATTTGGACTAAATTCAACCACAGTTGGGAAAAAAAAAAAAGAAAAAACACCACATTTTTGAAAACTAGTTCTCATAGCAGCAACATTGGTTTTGCCGGCTCTATAAAAGTTGAACATATCCAGATTTCATCTCCATTCCTGATACCATAACACCATTGGGCTGTGCAAGAGACGCTCTGGGGCTTTCTCTTTTCATTGAGGAGAGACCCAAACCCCACGACCTAAAGCCATCATCACAGATGGTTCCCTGTAGCACGTATAGGAAAAAGGCCAAATACCCCAGAATCACTACATGGCTTCCTTACCACCTGGAGGTTATCAGAAATGGCATCAAGGGCTCCATCTCTGTTAATAAGTCAGCACTTAGCTGGGAGCTGCTACACCTCAAAGAATCCCCTCCAGGAGCTGGACTCTATGATTCCTGTGGGTCCTTTCCAACTCAGGATGCTCTGTGATTCTATGATTCTGTGAAACAGTACTGGAGGAATCTCTAGCCTACTGTCTCAGCTGGTAGTTTTCTGCCAGAAATAAGCAAACTATTATTTTTCACTAGCATAAAATCAGTACACGGTTAAATATATATATGAGTGTAAGGTTCCAATCTGTTTATTTCACCTCTTTACCCACAGAAAGCCCTGAGAAGAACATTAAAGCCAGAGGCCAGCTGGGCCAACTGAAATGTTCACGGCTGACTGCAGCACAGCACTCACTTGCAAGCACAGAAAATAACCTACTGCACCAGAAAGAGAAAAATGAAATATCCAAGGCCCACTCAGCCACTGCTGAGCCTGAATCTCTCCCTTATCGCATTCTCTCATACTATCTTGTACCATAGGAAACACAGACCCTTGGACCCTTGGATTCCACAGCCAGGTGGCACACCTTGAAGACAAGAGAAGTAACACATAGGTCAATCAGCTGTACAGTGGTTTGTGTCCTTAGCAGGTGCTTCAGTGTCAGAGATATTAAACTCAGTTATTTTCAGCTCTATGGCAAGAGCCAAAAAGGCCTTCTCTACCCCCATTCTAATTAAGTTTATAGGCAAGGACTATCAGCTAGGCTAAGAGTTGAGCTGTCAAGTTAAGAGAGAAACGCCAGCAAGGTAAAACCTGCCAGCTGGAAAGACAGAGTTTCTGATGGTGGCTGTACTTTCTGGAAATTATCTCTCCAGTCTCATCTTTCATATGTTTCCCAATATATCTCATCTTTCTCTCTGTCTCTCACATACCCAGGTGCACACAGGCACATGTGAGTTATGTGCTATAGCGTCTTGCTTTGGTGGATTGCCTCTGTCTATATCAAAATATATATAATATAGCTAAGGGCTCTATCCTTCTTCCAACTACATCAGTGTAATGCAGACTTCATCTCAGATGATTTGACTCTAGACACAGGCTGTTCTGATTTTCAGCAGGAACTGGCAAGACCATCTCTGCAAATCATCCCTATCCACATCTATGTGTTTGTTCCTTGGTACAGCAATTATTGGGTTAATTGTAGTAGAATCTCTACAATTAGTCAATCTTCTCAACAACCCCTAGAGTGAAGTAACTCGTACCTTTAGAAAGGGTGGCTGAGATGCAAGAATAATGAACCACCGATTAAGATCTTGAAAATATTCTGCAGCAGAGCTAGATTTCAGCCCCAAGAATGGCGGATCATTGCCCTCTCTGGAGCACCTCATGGAACCAGGCCCCCAGCAGGCATTGCTGGCTGCCACATGTGCTGCCTTCCTCTTGGCAGAAACACAAAAGTCCTTTCTATTTTTTTTTTGTGAGGTCTTTGATTCAAATCCTTCTCAAGCCAATATAGTGAAGACCAAATTCTCTTCTATTAGATCCTGATAAACTATGGGGGCATTTGAACTTATAAGAGTGAAATGTAAAAACCCATCACCCTTAAGGCAACAATAAACAGAGGCAGAGAAACAATTCTTAGTGTAATGCCTTACTGCTGGTCCTGGCTACATCACTCTGTATCCCATACAACTCAGAGCTGGAAAATGCATCGTCCTGATAATCATCATAATCCAGCTGAATCTAGAGCACTTAGCACATCTACATTAGTATTTGCCAGGGAAATTGGCAAATCTCCCTCTTGGGATGGAGAAGCAAGGACTGTACTGGAAGTGCCATGGGCTGTGAGAAGCACTGGCTTTCAGCCCTAGTGGGTTTGCAGCTCTCAGCTGATGTTGCTGCAACTGCATGGTGTAAAGCTGACCCAGATTCCAAACCTCGTCTGTCACCAGATTTGTTGCATCTCCTAGAGCTTTTTACTTTATATCCAGGGTTTTCTCACGCCTCAGTCCCAAATGACCTCTGTGAGAGTGGCTGACACTATAGCAATCCAGAGGCACCTGCACCTAGCATCTGTGATATACTCCTTTTCCCCTGTTGAATTGTCCTTCAGGACTTCACCTGGTCTGAACATGCAAGTTCAACAAACTGGACGATGATGTGATCTGATTACTACATCTCCTGGATCTGGCATTGCACTGCAAAGCCCAAAATGGAGTCCCAGATTTTTCATGAGGAAAACTCCTTCAGCCATCCCGCTCCCGCTAACACTGTGATGCTGAAGAGCTTCCCAAAATTACAAAAAAATCAGACAAGGCTGAAGGGAAGGAGATACAGGAACCAAGTGGTAAAAAGTTTCTTGGGCAGATAGCAGAACAGGGGGCCGGCAGAAGGAGTGTCCATACAAGATGTGGGGCAGAGGGAAGATGGGGCCCTTTGGAAGTCAAGCAGCAGATCTTCCCTGCTACTACTCTGTTTTGCAAAAAAAAAAAAATTAAAAAAAAATAAAAGAAAGGAGGGGGGAATGGCATGGTTGCATGGATGGCATGGTTAGAAAGTCTTCCTTTAAGCATTAGTGGTAGGCAAGACAGAGAATCAGGTCCATGCGATGCACTGATACCCTATTTAAGTAAAATCAAAAGACTGAGGATCAGGGGGCAGTTTAGATCTCCTCATGAATGGCTGAGGTTTAAGATGCTCTGTGATATAATCTGGACAATCTATCATCTCTTTCCCCCCCACAGAGAGGATAATTAACACGGTAAAATGCAGTAGGCTCAGTGCACCCCTTTCTGATGTCAGGGGCCCATTTTAAGGTCAATGATTGAAATGCTCCAATGGTGTCAGCTGAGCTTTTGCATCCGTTGCTAGGATTTTACTCACCAAGGACTCTTAAGGTGATGTATGTTCATTAGTTTACAGGAAGATATAATTACCCATCCAAACTGCACCATGTTTCATTTGCTACTAACCTTCTGATTCACCTAGGTAGGTGGCAATGAGTGCATTTGCTAACTGGTGATTACCAAATTAGTTGCATGATAAACCTTTTTCAACATACCTTTTAGGGGGGAAAAAAAAAGTAAAATGAGTAATGAGTTGATCTTTTCCTTCAGCATGCCGTAATTTTTATTCATTTAACTTGAGCCAATTTATTAGGGGAGAGAGGGAGAGAGATTGTGTTCCTTTGCACTTGCATTGCAGAAGAGACAAACAACGGGAAAATTTCTGAATGTGGTTATATTTAAAAATCCACATTAATTATAAACCTACATACTCTTCATAAAGGCAGGGGCTACAGCCTGGCTGGGGGAGGGAATAGGGGGTCACGTATAAATTGTCTCCCAAGGACCCCACTGAAATTTCCATAGCGTTCACCATATGACACTGATGTGTGAAAATTGACATGAAGATTTGAAAATTGGGACTGAGGGAGACCAAGCATAAAATAACTTCAATTTTGCGCTTTCTCTGTCTCTCGGAGGAATAGTGCAGTGGACTGACCAACACAACACAAACAAGCCAAGAGGAGAGAAAAAAAATATTCAGGGAGAAGGATAGGAGTTATTAAAGAGAAAACACACTCCTCACTCACAGAGAGAAAGGATGATCAATGGATTTAGTCACAGAGAAATTCAAGCAGAAAATTGCTGCTGTTTTTTATCTGAGAGGCAGAAAGTTTAACCAAACCAGAATTCTCTCGACTCACTCCAAGGCAAACAGTGAAAAAAACAGCGCTTTGTGAAATGGTAGAAGTGAGTGTTTGTGTGTGTGTGTATGTGTGTTTTTGAGTGTGATTTTACAGTTTTATGATGCCAAATGAATTGTTATACAGAGCCCTCACCTCCAGAAGTCTCTGACCGGGAAGATTTTATAAGGTGTTTATAATCTGCCATGAGATTGCAAATCCCACCAAAATTAGAAAGCCAACCCCACCTAGTGTGAATAGCCATCAGATGGAGGCACTGCACTCAGCTGCTAACACACGAGTCCTATTCCTTCTTCAGAATGAGGGCAAACACATAACATCACTAATAATAGATCAGGAAAAGTAACTAAACTATCAAATTGAAATGTTTTTGCTGTGCCTCCTGTAGTAAAGGGTTAAACATTTTATTCTGGGCAGATTGGCACTGTTTTAAAATGCTATATACTTTCTCTCAGTTTCTTCTCTTTGGGATGCTCTGTGGTGCGGAGTGCAGCTTTTTAGAACTGAATTTTGGCACTCTGGAGGCTCTTGTTGGCACTTCTGCTTACAGAAAATCAAGTAAGTCTTGGGAATTGCTGCTAGTGGTTCCCAAACCAGATCGTTATGCAAAGGCAGGAGGTACCAAAGCATCACTGAACTGTGGAAATAACAGCATACTTCATCTCCTGGAGTTTAACTGCTGTTCTGGGAATAGATGTCCATAATTTTCTTTGCACTGGTTAGCTGTTCAATAGTTCACATCCTCAGATTATTGGTCAAAATGCCTACCAGAGTTGGAAATACTCTTCAGGCTCTCAGCAGGACCATCCAACACTATAGCACTGTGATGTGGACAGACATACATCCTACATGTAAGCCTGTGGATATTTCTTAAAACCCAGACCTGTTATAAGCTGCACCTTAAAAAAACACACCTGTGCAATCTGTTCTGTAGATACCCAGCACTCACCATCACCACTATTGGCAGAAGTTCAATCCTGTTGCTTTTGCTGCCATTCTCCTTTGTGGATCACAAGTTGCTTGCTGTTCTCTGTTACCCCAAAGGCCTCTGTAAGACAATGGAGATTTAAGTCAGTACATCTTTGTTGTGGAAGAAAGGCTGTGAATGTAGATAGATAGAAATTATAGACTGCTTTAGCTCTAAAACTGGTTGTTCTGTAGTTACTGTAGGTCTTAATGTCATTCTCAGTCAGAGAGATTGCACTGTACAGTTGAACACTGAACACTCTACTGCCTCACCAGACAATTTTTCTCAAGCTTACTTATTTTATTTAGCACATAAGGTTCCTTGTGCTTGCTGATATGATGAGCTACAGGACCAGTGTTCACATGCTATGGATCTCATTTATTATGAAGTGTAGTATAAAATAATGAAAAATAGCTCCAGCCATCCCTTCTCTCTCCAGGGTATCTCAGCACCCTTATGGATGACCGCACACACAGTCAGCTCCATAGAAACAAATGGAGAGGAAATGGCACTGCACTGCTCAAAGCTGGAGGACTGAGTGCCTTTGGACTGGAAGCATACTTCATCCATAGCTTCTATTGAAGGTATATTACAGAGGCTTCTGGAAAGAAAAAAAAAAGTATTTATATTTTTTATGGAAAAGATGGGCCTTATAGGTACTAGAGAGCAGGCAGAAAGGAGAATTCTCTAATACAAAGGTCTTTAGGAAATATTTAACAATAAACACCTGGAGGTGTTTCCAATAGCTGCCAATGGAGAATACTCCACGACTCATAGATTGACTAACACAAGAGCTGCCCATCATTGACTCTTAATGCTCTATGGAGCACGAAAGCAATGGCAAGAAAACAATATGAAAAGGCCTTGCAAGTAATTTCACAGGGTAACAAGGAATGCCAGGTTCATTCTAATTACTGACACTATGGACATTTAAATGAGATTTGTTCTTTATAACATGTCTGATGTAGAAGTGTAACATCAGATGCCTTTTATGTGCCTTCATTTCGTTTGTTAGTTGCACTCAAAATATGTTTTTGAGTTTATTTTTGTAACTAGGAAAACTGGAACACAACATAAAAACAAACAAACTTGAAATTCTTCCAATGATTCCTTCATTCCAGTAGCTGAGGCTTTAAGGAATGCCATGAGAAAACTGCAAGGATTAATAATAGTAACAATAAAACAACAACAATAATTATTATTATAGTAATAATAATGTTTTCTTTTTAATATTACATGAACCAAAAATAAGATGCAAGGCCACATTTCATTGTTTTCTTTTATGAGCCTGCTAGAATACACTGGCTGTGAGACAGCACTGCCTTGAAATACCATTTGGTAGTGTGTGTCAAAGAACCTATCTTTTATTTATATACTTGAATCTACTTGCAACCTGCCTTGAACGTGGCAAGGTTGATGCCATCTCCCTTTTAATGAACTCACATTGCCGAGTTACTTTTAATTCACAAACTGTGAGAACAGAATTTGGCCCAGTATTTTCAGTTGTACTTTCACATCACTCGAGGAATCATTCTGAGGACTAATTTTCTGATGTCAGGGTGTCTTCTGTCCTCTGTTTTGTGTTAATGTTTGCATTTCAAATAGTCTTTAAAGTACTTCAAATTTCTCACCTTTAGATCCTTCTTGATTTATGTATGACCTTTATGGTCTCTTTCCTCTAAAAGGCCCACTTCTTCCAATAAAAAGGCAATTTTTAAAAGAATTTCTCTTTATTTATATATAATCATTGTATAGATTGCATCAAATGCTTTAGAACATACATAAAAAACACTCTTAGCTTTTTACACGGTTAGGAGATAGTCGTCTCTCTGTGAAGTTTGAGATGAAATATTCAAATGTAAGAGGAAAAAAACTATATCACCTACCTCAAAAAGGTCTTCAGAAACCTGCTGGGAAGAGTTTGAGAAGGAAAGATAGGAAAGATATACCACCATTTTTGAGAAAGGATGGGATAATCCCATTGGTTACTACTATGGAGTAGTGTTTTCAAGGTTACTTTCAACTCCAGAGCAAATAGTTTGCAATGTGTCCTGAAGATTTAGCTAGGAAAGAGAGATTCTTAGAAGTGAAAAAGAGAGTCATAGGCCACTGGGTGCTGTGTAATTGGCACTCAGCCCCAGTCTCAGAGGTGGGAACTACATCCAAGCTTTCTCCATGTCGGAAGTAGGGAATATATTGAGGTTGGAGGCAGTTTAGTGAAAGCTCATTTGGACTACATAGTTCTGTAAAAATGAAACCACTTTACATACAGCTTCAAAAGTAAGGTTGGAAGCACCAAGTCCTCACAGTTCTGAAATGTCCTATTTAAACAGCTTGGAAACAGCAATAGCTTGATGCTTGTGTTATACTTCAGTTTTTATCTTTTACAAAAGCATCTACATCTCTCCAATTATATAGATCTTGCCATATCACTGTAAAATTATTTTAAAAGCAAAAAAATCAACATAAAACAGTAGTCGAAGGAAAGGTAATCTTTACCTTCAGATATCTCAGAAGAAATTATTTTGCGAAGTGGGGATCTGCAGTGGGTTAATCAGCCTTTTGCATTTGGAAGCAGAAAGTGAAGGAAGAAAATCTCTGACTAATCTTAAAGTAGTTGTCATGGGTAAAATCATCAAAATGTATAGAAGAAACAACACTTCTTTTTAGTTTGAATGCATCCCATTTTTTACAGACAGAAAAGACTTCCTAAGGACATTCTTGCTATCTTAATACCTCAATCTTGCTCAGTGTCATTTCTGAATGAAACCATTGTTGAGGCAACACTGAGTTGAATAGCTCCATCAGCCTTCTTTAATTTTCTTGGAGATTATGGGAAAACCTCTATAAATCACTTTTATGACCTCATGAAAAGCTTGCAGTTGTATAGCAACACTTGCATGAATTATGAGATAGCCACAAGGACCAAAGATGTCAAGGATGCCAAAGCAAAGCTTTTTGTACCCTGGGACATGGCATTGCATTCCTCAAATCTGCTGTTGGCAGAAACACCAAAGGCAGACATGGAATCTAAACTTCCCTCTGTCTCCTAAATGCAAGGCAGGGATTTGGAAAAGATGGGAAGGCACCGTTAAAATAGCCTTGAAAAGGGTCATTAGTCTGAAGATGTAGCAATTTAATTCTTCATTAGCATTATAAATTAAGCAGAATATACACACACAAAAAAATACAACCAAAAAAACCCAACATCATATACTTTGTAAAAAAAAGAATGGAGGAAAAGTGCTTTTTTTTTCCTTCTCAAACAAAAATCCTTTGAATTTTACACAGTGTCTTTTGCTAAGAGACTTCATGCAGTTCTGGTGATTTAGTATCACGCAATAGACTTCCAGTTGGTCTTTCTTGGAATTCCTTCTCAATTACCATGAACTCACAGCGTTTTGTTCCCATGTGTTGAAATCAAAAGTCCCAATCCAAGAATCACTGGGCTTTATGACATTTCATGGTACTGTAAACGTAAAGCAAAGCTTAAATTTTGCAATTTTCAGATGATAACCTGAGAAACAAACACCTGGAGTGTGTTAGAGCTAGAGACAATCATACATGTACCAACTATAAGTTATGTGATTCCAACAGCAGTGAAAAACTTCATAACAACAAATTGATTTTGTCAGCACTACTTTTTGGAGGAAAACTGCAAGAAAGGTTCTGACTGTGCTAGAGAACCCAGGCCAACTTTTCCGAGAGGACACAACAATATTTGGCTTTGTGCTTTAATTTTCTACCATATACTCGATAATTAAAAAAAAAAAAAAAAAAAAAAAAAAGTGAAATATTCCAGTTTTGTCAAAATATTTTTTTTTCTATTATTGACACTAAATGGATCTTGAGATATTTCCTGGCAAGAATACTGAATGTTTCAATTGTCACCCGCATTCAGAGCAGAGTCAGACTCCCAAATCTCCCCCCACTGCTACTGAATAAAATGTTTATCCTCTACCAATGGCAGCAACGTTCTGTTTAGGCAACCCAAACATAACCCCACGGTGAGTTCCTGGAATAGAAATGGCAGAAGGTCCTGCTTTCAGCCTGAGTGAGCTTTGGCCAGGCTGACATACTCTCACCTCCCTCTGTCCCCCACACCCCAGTGTGCAGAGAGAGGCCGCAAATGTCACTCTGAGGCACCCCTGGGGATGGATATTATTGATGTTCTGTTGGCCGTGCTACAGCAAAGTGTCCTGCAGCTGCAGTAAGATGTGGAAAGCAGATTTGCTCTCCCTTTTGATTTCCACTTTCTCTCCTTCTTCCTCTCACTTCGGATAACTCTGTGACTCCTCTTGTACCTTAGAAGTTTTAGTCTGGGATAGAAGCAGCACTGGATCCGAGGAACTGGGGCTTTGTGTTGTGACTCAGACAAGCCCATATTCCATTTTAACTGGTCTTGGCATCTCTCTTTGGAACAGAGAGCTGAGATGATATGCTTTCTGCTTTCTCCATTCCTGAGGTCTGCTCACATTGCTAGTTCCCCTAATCCTCTTGCCCAGGCCCTGCTGTTTGAGCCAATTCCCTGAGCTTCTTCTCTCTCTTTTTCCCCCCACCATTATTCCAGGTGGTTACCCATCCCATTTCACTTACTTCAGTGTGTCACCAGGTTGCTGCCAAAATCTCTTCTGTTTTCTCTCCCGTTGTGTTCACTCTTTCTCTTTTTTAACTTTTAATCTCAGCCCAGGGTGAGGTGCACTGAGCAGTCATGATGAAGCTTTCAGGATGTTAGAAAGTAAACTGCTGGAAGAGGTCAGCGAGAGCAAAAACCAATAAAGCACAAGAAGGAAGTTTGATACATACGAACAAAGCAATTGGTAATGATGTGAAATAGTTGGGTCAACCAAGGGCTGTGCACAAATGAAAAGATTCACCTCCAAACACCTGAAAAGTTTACCTAACCTGCTTTTCCTTGACAGAAGTTAGTCTGTTGCCGTGAACCACTGCTAACAGCTTTACACCCTATGTTTATTTGCACATCTCCAGGCACACATGAGCATGTGGCCATCAGCAGCAGGGCAGATTCTTCTTCCTAAAGAAGCTCCTTAAATCCTATAAGCCTCCTGACTTCCTTTTCTCTTCCATTCATTGCTGCTTATTACCTGAAAAGTGTGGTTTAAGGCCAGGTTTTCAATATCCTCTCTTAGCACCAGAAAAAATGTTGAATTCAAAGGGGTGGCCTCTGATGTATGGGATTGTTTAGTGTAGAGGTGGCCTCCTTGAGCTCCTACTTCATCAGGCAGCCATCAGATAGTGTAGCTCCCATTAAGGAGGGCAAAATTCCCTATTTGCCAGGCAGGGAAGGTTTGCCTACAAAAGGACGGTGATTTTTGAGATATATTTCACTTCTGGATTTCACAGATTTACCCAGGGGAAAAAAAAAAAAAAAAGAGAGAAAGAAAGAAAAAAAAAAAGAGAGAAAGAAAGAGAGAGAATTGTCAACTCAGATTTTCCAATTTTCATGCTTAGAAAAGCAAAGTTTTTTTTAACTATGCGATGAAAACCAATATCAAGAGTGGTGGCCACAGTATATTAGAGACTCCCTCCCTCCTTTTTTCTCTTTTTAAGCTACTGGCTAAGTAAGATGGGAAATATTTTCCTTCCTTTGGTGCTTGCAAGCTGAGACCCTCTGGCTCTGCTCAGTATGACTCCAGAGGATAATTAAATGAAATAACATCTTTTGTGGAATTATATCTTCATAAAATTCCTTAGAAAGTAGAGAACTTTCTGTTGTTTCATCTGTCTCAGTGTCATTGTTAGCCTACAAGGAAGCACACTGACACTTTCACGATAGCTGTGGTACAATGACCTGAAGGGAACAAAATCCTAGTGCCTTGCTCAGATGGCCAATTCAATATGATTTCTCTCTGCTCTGGGAAGTCAGCCAGACTGCCAGCTGCAGCCCATGCCACCCCTTGTTGGACCTGGAGGGCTCTTTCTTAGACCTCAATGAGAGCAGATTTATTAAAAGGAGAATTACAGTATTAATAGGATTTTTTTTTTCCTAATGACAAAGAACTCAATTTCTTCATACTTGGAAGTGGTTTTATACCCAACTATGCCAATCTCAATATTATCTCAGATGGGTACTTGTTCCCTGGAGGCCCTTAGGGGAATGACCTTATGTCCCTTACCTTTGATAAAGCACTGCTTGCATGCATATAATTCAATTAACATCATCAGCTTATGCTAATTTTGAATTTAGATGGCACGCTGGAAATAAACAGGAGTGCTTATGTCTGTCTAGAAAGAAAACACAGTGACAAGCTTCCCTCCTCCCCGCCATACACACCGCTGTACCCACACCAGTCTGCACGCACACTGCAATCCGGCCAGCCCCTGCCCTGCGAGAGCCTTCATTTAGCTGCCTGTGCTCTCTCCATTTCCTAGGGGGAATTTGGACAAGCAGAGCAGCCAAAATAACACAGAGTGACACATAAACATCCCTTGTCAACCATTTACTCTCTGCTTTACTCCTCTGCCTGTCGCATTCCTGATTTTGTTGGCTATTTTTCTGGTGTTGGTTTCTTTAATTTAGGGTGTTCTGTGGATTGTGGGATACAAGGATGGCAAGAAAAATACGTTTAAAAGTGGAAAGGATTACCCAAACCAGGAAGAGTGCTTCATTTAACAGTCTGGCTGTCCATAAGAAATGGCATGTCACAGCCTCCCCCAGCCCACTGCAGAGCACAACTTACATGAGGAGAGAGCGAGAGCCATGCCGACGTATCAGGTCCTAACAACAGCAGAGAGTGTGATTGCGGACACATCCAGGAGGGAATCCAAGCCTCGAATCACAGAAGATGAAAGAATCAGCCTTTGTGATCAGATGGAGGGGAAGAATTCCTTCCTGACGTCATCCCTAGCAATCAGGTGAACAGCTCCTGTGCAGCCATTTCAAGCAGACACACAAAGAACTGTAAGGTCCTACAGGCTCATCAGCAGGAGCTTCCCATGTTTCATCCTGGAAAACTTCCCTTGCCCAGGCTTTCTGTGTATCTGGGGAAGAGCAGGGCAAAGTGTTGAGTATGAGGGTGCTGCTCAGAGGAAAAAAAAACACATCAGTATATGTCATGTCTTAGTGCGAGACATGCAGAACTCTGTGCTGGGAATCTGTGCTCTGCCACTAGCTTCATGGTGAACATATTCATCAACTAGGGATAATTTTTATCTCTGATTAAGCTGTGAGTGGGCACAACTCTTTCGCAGTTGACAGCTCTGGGCAAGGAATGGATATGGCAGAATTGTCTAAAATACAACTCAAGTTAATTTCCTTGGATCCTTCAGTTCTCATCAACATGGGCATTTTCTGACGATCTGATTTACTTACCAGCAGTGCCCAGCCATCTATGCCAAGGCAAAGAAAAACAGAGGACATATGCTGAAAAATTTGTAACATGGTCCCCTAATCAAGTGCTGGCTCCATCCTGCATCCTGTTATAAATTGTAATCTACATTGTGTCTACTGTACACACGCCATTATTCTTTCCTCTGATGTCTCAAGCAGCTTTGTCTGATTGCATTTAAATACTTTTTTGAAGTCATTATTGGTTCTCCACTTATTTATATGTTGCAGGGCTTGGTGGTTATCTCTTTTTCTTATTAGGAGAGGGACTCAAGGTTACATTTATTCTTCATATCCGAGGAGCCAATTAACTTCCAGGCTCCCCCAATGCCATCTCAATAAATAGAGGCTGCTGTAGCCGTATTTCCTTCCAGAGGGAGACCAGGATGTTCAGCCAATTCTGAATCCACTCATAGCACTGTTTCATGGTTGAGATATTCAGAGGACAGTCTCCGCTGGAGAACTGACCACTTCTCTGATTGCTGTGTGAGCCAATTTCTTCATCGTGTTTCTATTATGCTCAGAGTATCAGCGTATCCCTGCCCAAAGGAAACTCATTTCTGAGCAATATTATGTTGAGTATTTTTTGTTGGAGGCAGGGGACATGAAGGGATTTTTTTCTTATGGGGTTTGACTCTCATTTTTTGTTCCTGTAGCCTCCTTGCTTCTGTCTACAAATCCACGAAACACCCTTAAGATTATTTACCTTACATTTAAAACTACTATGGGTTAGACTGGCCACTGCACTTTCTGGAGCAAGGAATTAAAACACCAGTAGTGGCTTTCAAGGGAACAGCTGTCCTAGAAAGAGAGAGCACCTGGGGCACAACCCCTTCCATAAATAGTGTGGCTCCAACCCTCTTAAATATCCTGAGTAAGCCTCACTAGGAGTTGTGGGGAGTCATTACATATGCTTAAGTCCATGTATCCCATCAGTATTAACCTTTCACTCTGCTTGGGGCAGAGGAATGGTGCCAGCATCAGGCCCTTGTTGAAGTTGGCAAACTGATGGGGCAGCAACATTTATGGTGATCTCTGCCTTGATGCGTGGCAGTGCTCTGCGCCTTGTCTCACTTTTTGCAAGCCCTTTTTTTTTTTCTATCCTTGAAGGCGAGGCCGTGCAGGTGGCTGCGTTCCCTGGGACAGGGAGAGTTATGTGACTGAAAGTTGGCTGAGCCCTGCCGTGGCGTTGTGCCGTCCCAGCTGGCAGCACTACATCATCCATGCAGTGCCAGCCGGGATCAACCAGGAGTCAAGGTCAGGAAGGCGATGTAAGGGGAGCCAGAGCCACGTGGAGCAGCTCAGAGAGGATGTTGTGAGTGTGGGACTACCCAGCTATGGCTGTGAAACTCTGTAAGGGGAAAAAAAAGAGCCAGCTTCACACAGAAAAGTGCCATTTTGGTTGAACTACAAATGAAACCCAGGCTGAACTGGAAGGCAAAGAGGGTCATGATGGGTGGCTGTGATGAACACACAGTGAAGAATGGAGTGCCAAATCTTGCCAGCAAGGGGCAAAAAATAAAAGCTCCATTTGTGAATCTAATTGGCGCGTGACACAAATGTAGTGGTAGTAGTAGAGCCATCCCATCTGGCACTTCTTATTAATCAAAAGACTCTAAAGCCAAGGAAACATCCAAAAATATCTATCAACAAGAGCTGAGAAAGGGAGAATGTAAGGCAACCCCAACTGTGTCTCCAGAGGCTGTGCTTGATGCTAACAGGTGGCAATGAACATTGCATGATTTAGAGCTCAGAGGGGAATAGGAATCTGAAAGATCAAATATCATTCCAAAACACAGCCAAGCTTTATGACCTGAATATCTGAGCTCTGAGTCTTCCAGGACAGACCTGAATTTGAAAATGGGGAGAGGAAATGGATATATCAGCTCCAGCTCAGCATTTCTTGCCTTAAAATCATGTTGGTTTTCAAATAGTTACAAAAGAAATGGCCAGCTCACCTGACATGCATACCTTCTCTAGAACACAAAAAACTACAAAGAAAATCCTCTTTTGTTCAGATGCTAGACTTACTGAAACCCACTTCTTTCTTCCAATAGCACCTTGCATCCCTGACCCATTAAGTTGCGATAACATCCACACTCATATCCTGTATGAGGGCTGATTGGATGGTGACTGGCAGAAGGTCTACAAGTGATTTATGAATACGATTCAGTAGCGCTTGTCAATATGCCTTATGAACAGCCTGCTTCCTTGAATTGCAGTAGGCATCTTTTCTACAAAGATGCATGCGGGTCTCAAGTGCATTGCAGGCAGCAAGAGCTCTGCAAGACAGCAATGAAGTGAGAAGGAGTTCAGAAAAGGAAGCAGAAGCTCTGGAGGAGAGAAAAATAATTTGCCCAAGAAGTTGCAAGACTGAAGCTCAGCAATGGAAGAAGCTTGCTGTTTTGGCAAAATCTTGCCTGGATTTTGCCATTGGAAAATACTGGAAAACTCCCTTAACTCTATATCTGTTATCTTTAGCTCTTAGCAGCACTCTGGAGTAGAAAGGTAACTGGAAAAGAGTTTATACACCCCAAAGTCAATATTAAGCAGTAATATTAACCATCACAGGCTCTCCTATCAAACCCGTGGTAAATGGGGTCTGAACTGGTGCTGACAAAGATTAGAAGGGGAGGCTGCAGAGAGTGGAGAAGGATTTGTTTGCTTTCTCTATTGTGTCAGAACGAACCCTTTGAAAAGAGGACGGTGCAGCTTTAATAATAAAAAAAAAAAAAAATGAAAGAAGGAAAGAAAGAAAAAAAGAAAGAAAGGTGCCTCAGTTGTCTCGGCAGCTGATCAACAAAGGAGCAGTCGTGAGCTGTAACCTCTTGGAGCTGCAGTCTGGAACATGACACATGTCAGGCTATGATAAATGGTGCGGAGTGTGTGCAATTTCAAGCGCAATGCCCTTGAGATGCTCAGGACCCCGATCGCAAATGTTATTGTTAAATTAAACCTTAAAGGAAGGATTGGAAAGGGGAGGGGTGGGTTTGTGCGTGTATGTGCGTATGCGCGTGCGTATGTGTATTTATTTCTATATATATGTATGGATATACAAAGCACAGAAGAGATGGGAAAAGTGGCAAGGTGAAAAGAGGAAAACTTTGTATTTCTTTTAATTGAATTGTGCATCTCCTCGTTCTGGCTGAGCCATGGGAGAACTTCAGGCAGGATTTTCTGTCCTATGGTCATTTTATTGCATTTGCTCCATCATAATTTAATAGCTGGAGATCAGCTAAAGTAAGCAAGGGTAAGAGTGAAAAACAAATAAATAAGCAGGTACAGTGCCACAGATGTGCAGCTCATCCAGCTCAAGCGTTCTGCATCTGTGTACCTTTTAATGCGAACAAGTGTAGTTTCAGAGAGTTCTGGGGGCTGATTTTTGGACCTACCAGTCCCTAAGGGCTTGTTTCTTATTTAGGCTGATTGCTGGTATGTGTTTATGAACTTAAAAGATGCTCTCAGAAAGAGGGGTGGTGTCCACAGCCATAACTCACCTTGGGGAGCTTAGGCCTGGAGGCAGATTTCATCCCTGGCCAGTAGGTACAGCCCAAAGTTTGGTGCACACTACTTCTGTGGTACCAGCATCCTACTTTTCTGCTGTGATTTAAGCCTGAAAGCTGGAACAGAAGCAGTAAATAGATATTTTAACCAAGAAATTGCAATAATGTGAGTAGTCAAGGAGTGTGGAATAGAGAAGTAAACAGAATGATTGAGAGAGAAAAATAACCACTCTTACAACCTGAATAACCTTTTGCCAGGAGAAGTGGTAAGGAGGGCTCAGTGAGCCTCACCCTCTGGCTTTTGCTTTAGGCAGGTGGAGTGGGGACCACATCTCCTGAGCTCCCATCTCCTCCCCTTGCTCCCTCTAGGGAACAAGATCCAACATACCTCCATGCTGAGGGTGTCTCTTGTCACTCAGGACCTGGACTTTAACTTGCTCCTCTCTTCCATTCCTCCTGTTGCTTATTTTATAACTTCAGCCTTTGTCACGTTTCAGCTCATGAAGATTCCACAGAAGTCCTTTCTTTACCTTCTTGCTTCTCATGTTCCCTCCTCCATAGCATCCACGCTACGTGCAATTACTGTAGGCAGTGCAGGAAACGCATAAGAGAATGGAGCTGAGTAAACGAGGAGGAGGACATGGAGGGGTGAGATATGGGGTGGGGGGGTGCTGGAAAGTGTTCAAGGGGAAATGCTTGCACAACTCACATAATTGAAGAGAAAACAAGGCATATGAGCAACATAAACCCTCCACTGGAAAAAGCTTTTCAATCATAATGAAAACTGAACTTAAACAAGCAGTAAAAGGTAAGAAAGAACTAGCAATAACTCATCAGGTAAGATACATTGTTTGCTCTAATTTCTACCAGACACAGGATAAACTCACTGGCCAGGAATGACCAGCATAAGAGAGTTCAATGACCTATATAAAACACTTAGGACAAGGAGAAGAAGCTGAAGCCTGGCCTCTATCAGCTGTATCCATCTGCTTATTGCTCCTGGTTGCCTCTACAGTAGTTCCTTGTCTACTGCAGCCTTTAGAGTGACATGACAACATTATAACTGAGGCCCAGATTTAGGAAATATGATGAAGGCAAAAAAGTGCATTAGATACCAAAGTACTAAGTATTATTATTTTTAGAAATCATCTTACGAACATCCTATGGCTTGTTTTGTGCTTTTTGGCTACCGTTGCCTAGCGTCCAGGAAAAGTCAAGTCCTTTTTCGGTTCTTTGGAACATTTTCCCCATGTTTCTTGTTATTAAAGAAAATAAACATTAGACAAAAGCAGACTTTATTGTAACTATAAATAATTCAATGCAGATGGATTCATGGAAAATACCAGCAGGCAGATTTTCAGAGAGAAAAAAGAGGAATGCTCTAAGGTTAGATGGTGAGGAAAATAGAAAGGGTGAAGAGTCAAGAAACCACAAGTTGTCCTGAAAAGAATAGATACAAATAAGACAGTAATAAGTGATGAGTAAATGTAAATAAAGGTAACTTGGAAAGGCAACAGAATATGTTTGAAAAGTTCAGTTTTTTAGTTGTAAGCATGGTTGTTTCCTAGTGCCATGGAAAAGAAGCCACTTACTGTCGGTCTAGGAAGAGATCCTTTTCACAATATCCCATAGTGATTTGTTCTCTCTCTCATCT